CCCCAAAACCCCAAAACCCCAAAACCCCTTTCATCATCAAAACTATTGAATATTATTATATATCATCATTATTACTATATTTTAGGAGAACCAAATATTCTTGAAAAAGTGAGGTACTAGCTGCTGACCATTCATTATAGAGCAACTTAAGTTTATTGGCACAATTGAGTTGAAAGAATAAAATAGCATCAGGAAAAAGGAATCCAAAATAGCATTTGAAGGTATATTGCTGGTTATCTATGATGGCGCAAGGAGAAACGAAAACTATATGAGATTATTGACCAAACGTGGGATCTAAGATTTTAAATATGGTTGAAATAAAAGAGCTACTTTGATTGTATTAGCAAATTGATAATGAAGTCATGGACTTTTCACCTTTATAAGCTATATGCTCAAATAAAGAGCTAAGAATAAATATATTTGCATTTCTATCTACTCCAGAAACATTCAAAGATACCTAAAAAATGAAAACCACTTCAAATAAAATTAAAAAAACAATTAAACTGCTTAAATCCCCTTTCCAACAAAATCAAAAGAGAACAGTAAATTTCCAATAAGAAGAGAGCACTTCACCCTCATCACACCTCTCATACCCAGAACTCTGCTAAAAAATAAACCACCAGCAGCCACCAGCAGCCACCAGCAGCCACTATAACCATGAACTTCTTCCTTATCAAGCTAAAATAATTCCTTTTAACACCAAGTTCAACAGTAAGAACAGTAATAAAACCTCTTATTTTATATAAGAAGTTTACTGATTGCAGTAGAAAGTTTTGTGTGTAAAGGGGATAGGCAGGAAGACTTTAGTTAGGTGAGGTTGTGGCAGATGTGGTAGAGTGGTGAGGATAGTTAGAGTGACGAGTGGGTTGAGAGGGAGAGAAGGGGGTGGTTTTGGATGGGTGGGAATTGGAAGGGTTTTAGTTTGATGAGGGATTGGGATTTTATTAGATTCGTTGTAGTACTTTTAGTTAGAGAGTATTGTGGAATAATGGGAAGAGCCTCTACTGTATATTCATGCGTTTTATTTGATATTTGTTCGCCTTGTAAGAAGGAAGTGAACCAAACATAAGAAACATGGCCTCACAGGTTTATAGCATTCGTAGAGCAAGAACCAAGATTAATGATGAGAGGATTAGAGACAAGACTTAGTGACAAATAACTATCGGATAATCTAGATGAAGTTTCAGAAATATTTATAGCAATTTCATCTTGAATTTTTCTAGTATACTTGTTCTTTTAGAAGTAAAATCGTGATGTACAATTAAGGTATTTTGGACACTTAAACTGATAAAACCATAAGGTGACTCCAGAAATTCTAATTTTTACAAAATACAATAGAAATATCAGAAATGTAAAAGATCATTTTTATATCTATTTATTTATGGATAATAACACTTCGTGACTCCAGATAAGCAGAAGGCTAAGTTTAAATCCAAGAAAGGTCCTTTCAAGAGACTCACATTTGATCATATTTTCAAAGAATTAATTGCAATAATAGTCCAATATAATTTGCCAAGAATGAGAATATGTCCTGTTAGTTTTACCAAAGAAATTTTCAATATCTCAAAACTAATAAGCATCAAAACTAATGCTCTTTCATCCTTAAATTTTTTAAAACAAGCAATAGCATCTAAATTAGCAGTGAAGAAAGTTTGCCCTAAAACCAAACAACTCTCAATACTAAAAAGTAATCTACCTTCCTCTCCTTCCAAAATACACCAGAAAAAAGATTCTTCGCCCCCATTATATATCTACCTTATTCCATAATGAACTTGAACCAACAATTCCTTCCCTTAAGAGTAACAGGAGTGGGAAAACCGAAGAAATGGAAAAGGTCAAAATGAACTCTATAATTAAGGATAAGACCGATAACTTACTGAAATTCTGAAGGAAGTCTTGGTAATTAAAATATTGCAACCTTTGGTCCAGGAAAGACTGCTTCATGCTTAAAATGAGAAATTTAATAAGAGGAAGAAAGCTGGTTTATGAGAACTTTATAGGATTTTCAGAAAATTCTTAGGAAGAATTTTGAGCAAAAAGATTGCAAACGAGTTCAAAGGAGAGTCCTTTCAAGAATTTTGCAGGGGATGAAGGACCTATAGAGGTTGAGTTTAGGTAAAAACTAAAGGAGAGAGAAGAAAATAAATCTTCAAGGTAGAAGGACTAAAATATTTTGTAGAAGCTGTTCATGCCATATGTATCACACTTAATAATTTTTTCAGTTTTTTCTATATTGTAAAAATATGAAGGGGTTTTGGGGTTTTGGGGTTTTGGGG